ATATCGCATTCCGGATCCAACGACGGATCCCGTGTGGTGAGCTGAACGCGGAGAAAATGCCGTTCGACATGACGACGCTTCGCCGGGGATCGCCGCGGCGGCGACGCGGCCGCGTTGCTCGCAGGGGGCGGCGTCGACGGCGGAACCCACCGCCGCCGACCGTAAAAAAAACTCGTGCCCTCGGTGTGATGCAACTCCCACCCCGCGGGCGCCGCAGGGGGCCCGTCCTCCTTATCCAGCCGAAGCTTCTCATCCATGATCTCCTTCTCGATGCACTTGAGGAAGGTGGATTCGGGCAGCTCCACCTCGCTTGGGGGGTAGACGCCGTAAAGCGAGGGCGATCGCGGCGTGTGGAGGGAATCCTCAAAGCCAAAACCCGCATTCGACTCCGCCCGCGCGGCGCCGCGGAGGAAATCCGCCCCGTCGTTGCCGTTTTCGACGCCGCCTTTCACCCCTTCCACGTTCGGCGGTGGATGCGCCTTCCCTGGATCGGCCCCGTCCACGCCAGACTGGAATCGTTTCTGGACCTTCGGCGAGAAACTCACGTTCTCAAACGACACCAAGCCGTGGGGAGTTCGAGATGAAAGCGCGCCCCGACAGGTGAAATCCCTCAAAGAGGACAGCCGAGGATTTCGATACAAGCGGCAACTAAAAGACGGCAACGAGACGCCGCTACGAGTAAAATAGTTGCGCGCAATTGGGGAACTTAACCCCCAAAGCGGTCTAACGATAACATTTGGTTTGCCGTAAAGCTGACGAATCATTTGTCAAATCCTAATCCAACGTTTGGAGGATATGGTTTTACCTTTCACTTTGTAAACGGACGTCTCTTGTCTATATTAGAGCGTCCTGCTCTTCTTGAAAATCGTGTTCAAGGTGTGTGTGTGTTTGTGTGTATGCGAAATTCAAGCACCCACCCACAGTCCCTGCCGGAAAAAAAGAAGGAAAAAACGGAAGGAGGGAAAATTATCAATAAACTGCATTAAGTGCATCGGAGCTAGGGTTAAAGGATTCCATCACATTTCCCATATTGATGATCTTTTCAAAAGTGATCAATCCTGGGCATCATTGTAAAGTCCTTGAAAATGCAACAACAAAAAGTATCGTGATCGCAGAGAAGGTATAGCGGTTAATCAAATACGATCATTCAGTAACCATATCACCGGGTATGCATTTCCTCCCCTTTGGATCAAGATGATGTTCCCTCATACGTTTTACATGCGTTATTCATGCACTCCGTTCCAAGTGAGATGTCTACCTCGTTTACTGTTACTAAACCTCACCTTCGCAAAGACACGTGAATAAACGCAACATTGGGATGACATTTCAATCAAAAATACTGCTAATGGGAATCGTTGTCACCATTTTAAATGCTAATGAAGCCTTAAATGCAATCATAAGGAAAAAATAACAATTAAAACCCCGCCCAAAGAAAGGTTATCGCAAAAAATGTCCTTGATTTTCTGTGTTAAGGTTAACTCAAGGGTAGAAGAATGGCGCGTCCTGTGAAATATATATTCGCATATATCAACCTATAAAGACAAAAAAAAAGAGCACTTTTCACCCATGATACATATTATTGCTCAAAATTTGTATTTATTACCGCAAATGCCAACGGTCAGCACAAGGAGAGTGGAAGATATGAAAATCAAAGAAGCAAAAAAAAATAAAGGGTTTTTTTTGATAGTATTCTTACTTTTCAGAATGACATCAACGCGCCATTACTTTACGTGCATGTATGGGGTAGGGGGAAAGGAGTTGCAGACATCACACGGATGAATTGATTCGCGCAAAACCATACTCGTCATCGGAAGCGTTTTTTTTATTTTTTTTAGAGTGACATGATTTCCCTACTGTTGGTCGTCATCGCAAGGGCTAGCCGAAGGCCGTAGAATAATCTTTTAAGAAAAGATTTCTGCTCTCCTGCGCAGCCTAACAACATCCCTTCCCAGTCGCCTTGATGGGCAGAATTGGAAGGGTAGCCGCCCCCGGACTTCCGGTCGCCATCCACGTAGCCCAGAAGCTTTAAATCGAAGCACTGCTTTAGCGCCGAGGCGAAGACGTCATCTGCCCGGACATGGGGGTAGCCATTTCGCCAGCCTTTTTCGCCTTCCAACTTCCTAAAGTGATTCAAAGTTTTGAAATACCGTGAGATATAAGTCATGATGCAGTTTTGGAAATGCACAGAAATGCTACGACTTAAAGGAAAGCGCCGCAAAGGCGGTTTCGTCGGCTGGGGTGGCTGTTGCGCGCCCTGCCCCTCCACGATCGCGGCCCCGTCGAGATTCCCTCCCGGTTTAACTTTGGAGGGTCCTGAGGTGATCTTCGGAATGCGATCGATGAAATAAGATACGACGCGAATAAAGCTCAACACCCCATAGACGTGTTGGAGAAGCAGGGTGGGCAGAAGGGAGTTGTCCGAGACGCTAAACAATCCATTGTCGTCCGCATCCCCCCCATTCCACGCGGCGTGCGCTTCAGCGGGTTCCCCCTTGGAAGCCCGCCACACCGGCTGCCACCCTGATGATTCGCTCGGATCCCACATCCCCCGGAAAGACTCCTGCATCGCGAGCTCCACTCGCTCCGCCGCGAACAAAGACCGATCCAGCCCCCCTCCATCGCCGAGCGAGCGCCTAAAATCCATCGAAGTGTTCGAAAACTGATTCGGCGTGCTCTCTTCGCCGCCCAAAAAATCGGACTCCTCCATCGTCGTGGATCCTTTGCTGGAGCTGGCATGCACGGCGAACATCGTGTGGCTGCTCGAGGCGGCGCTGGTTTGCGCTTTCAAAGACTCGATGCACGCCTGCGCCTCCTTCAACTGCGCGCGGAGCCGTTCAATCTCCTCCGCGAACTCCGAGGCGTCCTGCGCGCGCGTGTTCAGCATCGGTTTATTCCGAACCTCCCTCGCCAGGCTCGCGAAGCGCAGCGTCGAGAGCGTTTCCTGCGCATCCCGCAGATCGGGCGAGATGTTGCAGAGCAAAAACGTAATCGCGTTGCCGCCAAAACTGTCTTTGAGAAGTCGGGTGAGGTTGCTGCTGCGGTAGGGGATGTACCCGACGGATTCGGCAGGGGAACGATGCGAGGCCGAGAGCTCCTGGCGAGGCTGCCGTTGTCGGCTAAGATGGCGAATCACGTTGCCGAGGAGCAGCAGCGAGAGGTTGATCTTCCGCGCCTCCCACAGCCGCATGCCTTCCGCGCCGGTCTGGCTTACCCGCTCCGACCCCGCCAAATCCACTAAGGTGAGAATGGAATGCCGCACGAGCCCGGAGGGATGGGGGTCTTTTTGAATCACATGCACGAAAAAAAGGGTGTGGGCGCGGTTGCTGTTGATATTCAGCCGCGTGTAGGCCATTTTGCGCTCCACCAACGCCTGAAAGACGACCTGCATCGCCTGCTCGAAATTCCAAACCCGATGCGTGCACATCCCATCAATGGCGACGGAGAGGCTCGCCGCTCCGGGGAATTTGCGCGTGGTGTTTCGAATCCGCAACGCCGAGGGGGAGTTTCCGCTTACGAAAGAAAGGGTTGGGCGGGGATACCCGCGTTGGGAGACCGGAACGGCTCGTCGAGGGCTTGGCGACCTCGATCCCCCCCCTTTTCCCTCTCCCCCTCCTCCCCGGTGAAAACACGTGGTCGAGCGAAAGGACGGCGAGGCGCGGGAGGAAACCCCCACCCGAGCGGTTTTCTCGTGATTCGGGAAAGTCGCCGCGAGGTTGACGCGGCCGCCTCGCGCGGGATCCAAACTCCCCCGCTTTGACCGCCCCCCTGCGAGGGTGGGGTGGAGGGGGTCGGTGGAGGCCCCGAAGAGCGCATCGGGCTCGGACGCCGCGGGGTTTGGGCGTCGTCGCGGGACCGACGAAAGGGAGGGGTGGGGGAGTAAATCGTGCAGCTCCTCGTTGTAAAGCTCAACGGCGTTGAGGGAGACCGACCAGGACGGCGCGGCGGCCTCGCCGTCCGCGCAGGCCCCCCTGGTCGCCTCCAAGCCTTCGAACAACCGAAGTAGCATCCGTGGGAGCATCCCGACGGACTCCGCGAATTCGTACCCGGGCTTTTCCCTTTCCCTCCCCTCCTCGGCGGTGGGGAAGGGGTCGGCCGAGGTCGTGGTTGGGGTCGCCAGACGCCGACGAATATCCCGTCCGCGGAGTTTCCCCCCGTGCGGGCCGATCAGCCCGTAGGTCTTGCCCGATCCGCTCTGCCCGTAGCCCATCACGGTGCCGTGGTAGCCGGCGAGGACGCGATCCACCGCGGGCGCCCCGATCGCCCGCATCACCGCC